TGTTGGATAAAACTGCCCAAGTCGTGCTCTTACCCAATACTGTGCAGGCAGCAGGCATTAGATTCAATGAATGGAATTTGGGCCAGGTTCACAGTGAAGAGGGGAAATTAATGTGACTTTGTATGCTGAGGAATTTTGGACCAGTTGAGTGTACTATTGTTGTAGCTTCTACATCTGAATATACTTCCTAATCCCAAAAGTGCCAGAGGGATTCTCCTGATCACAGAAGAGCTGCATATGAAGTGCTAATGCACAACTTTTAAGTACCTTGGAGCTCAAGTCTTTGCGACAAGTCAGTCAGTTGGGGTCCTGGGCAAATAAATCCAACCTCTACCTTGAGGGGCCCTTGGATTAATCACTTCTCTGACATGGCTACTTAAAAACAAAAGTAGCTAGTACTGTGCTGGACTCTTGGCAAAGCTAAATACCTGACCCATAGACACCTTGTGACTCTCTGGCCTGGTGTTTCCATTTTTTGAGTGGGCCATTTATTGAGTAGGACTCTATGACTAACAAAGTAAGAAAGGCCCAGTAAGCCTCACTTGTCAAATAAAAATGATATATTCAAAAGCAAGTTCAGCCTGGTCCCAGCAGCATCTTAGCATTACATGACACATGACAGCTTGCCCTCTGGGGGAAACTTTATCCTCCATTCTGCTTCTGAAAGCAATGTCACTGGCTCAACAAGGACCTCAATGTCTGGTCTGGTTCACTGATGGTGAACATCTATGTATATAATGCTTTCATCTTAGTAATTCAATTACTAGTAATTTGTGAAACAGCATATTCATATGTATACCTATAGTAATGTTTACAGGAATGTTTACTGCAACATTGTTTTTGACAGCAAATGACAAGAAACTACTTTAAAATCTCTCATTTAGGAACTCTAGAGAAATTACCTGTAGTTCCATACAAATTATGGCTAATCATCCCAATAAAAAGAATGTTAACAGTTTCTGTCTTTATGAAAAGTGACTATTTTCACAGTGTTTGTAAAGTGTGAATAAAAGCATGTTTCATTACTTTTGCCATTTATTAACCAGCTATATACAACATAACAAATGATGGTTGCTTGCTTAGTAAAGGCAACTTGAAGGCAAATCCCTTAGTCTCCTCCTTCAATGTCCCAACTCTCTGATCCCACAAGACTGGACAAATTCTGGAACTTATACTGATTTCAAAGTTTATTGTTATATGCAAAAGCAAGGATCCGAAAAATGTAAAATTTATTTTTTTCCTGTAATAATGGCATATATACAGATGCTTGCATGTAGTCTCTGAAAGGGAACGCAAGACACTGGTAATAAGGGTTGCCTCTACAAAAGAGGATAGGGGAACCCTGGATGTCTTGGATGAAAGTAAGACTAATTTTCATTGCTATAGATAAAGGCTTACACTTAGATTAAGAACTATTATCTCTGTGTGGTAAAAATCCAAAGTACTATTCATTTATTTATTGCCTGTTACTCATTTTACATTATTTCTACAATGAACTTAAATTTACTTCAAAAGGAAAAAATTAAAAATATTTTGAAAGGAGTTATCCAGCAAGGATATAGCAAAAGAAGGAAATATCTGTATTTTGACAGCTAGAAAAGGAACATAAATTGTTGTGATCCCTGGTATTAAAAATGCAATCCTTAATGTAAACCTAGCTGCTGACATTAGAATAGGAAAGAAAAAATGACATAAAACTAGAAAGGAAAGTGACTGGCAGAGAAAATAAATCCAGATGCAAAATTACTTATTGGAAAACTTCTCAGATTATATAATCAAACAAAAATTCAAACAATATCTTGCTTTTATTATTTATTTTTATGTCTTCTTATACACAAGGATATATTTGATCAAAGAAGCAGTATTATAACAAGAAGTTCTCAGTTTCATTCATTAGATTTCAATAGCTGAGTTTCTCCCAGAATTCTATCTGGAATAACCTCAGTCATTACCATACCATACAGACAGATAGATTTCCCTGGGGCTTTTGGTGGGGATTCTTTTATTCTGAGAGCACTTTGAAGGATTTGAGATGGAGAACGCTGTGCCGTTGCCTTTGCACATCTTCCAGACAGTGGATAATGCATTTAGGAGCAACAGATTGGAGTTCATCTTTTGGGGGCCTGTGAAAATATTTTTGGCCTTTGTAGATTGGTTGAACTAAATACGAAGAAAAAATGCCATAAGTCACTGGATTGGTATACATTACCACTGCTCTGCTCATGTTAAAAGTAACACACTGACAAATCAGTTTCTGTAAATCTAAGGTAGTTTCATCTTTTAGGAAAACAGCTCCTCTTAAAACAATTATTTTATTTCATTCTTGGGGTTGTTGCTAACGGCAACAGAAAGAATGCACTGGAGTGTCATAATAATCCTCCATTAAATCCCTACTGTTTAAATTTTAATGCTATAATTCAAGAGCTGACAAAAGCCCATTGAGTTTGTCTATGGGGAGGAAAACAGGCAGGCCCATTTTCTCAGGGGTGATGCTATAGCAACATGGAATGAATTTGGGGTCAGGGAACAAGCAGTCTCCCAGCTTTGTTTGCATTTCCTGACTAAAAGTAGAATCTAACATTATAAATTTTACCCAAATAAGTATTTATTTTGAGCAGCAGGAAGATAGCTCACTTTGTACTGCTGTTTACATTGAAAACAGAGAGAAGGTAACAAAACCAGAGCTGGAAGAAAGCCATGCCGACAAACACATTATGAAATGACCATTGAAGTGACCACTTTAGAAACCCCTAGAGCCCCTCTGCATTTGTTTGACACCCAACCCCTCTCCCATGGACAAGCGATGCTTTAGAACATGGAAAAGTATTAAATTTGCAAAATGCCTTTTTAAAAGAAAGAGACAAAGGAAGTCTGATCAACAATTCCTGAATGTGACCCCTTACGGTCATGCAAGACACGGCAAAGTCGGGTGTTGTTGATTTTGTCTAGCTCTTTATAATAGCACTTTTGTTTTAGTGGGAGAATTTATTTCTACCAGAATAAACAAATACACCTGAATTACAATTGCCTATTGTGCAGCAGAAGGCCAAGAAAAACCCTATCCAATTCCCACTAGTTTGTGCTGCCAACTTTTCTTTCCCTAGGCATCTGTGTTTTCACTTTTGGTTTGAGTGTTGAATATTATCATATTGAATCAGTGTTCAATAGGATAAAATATTACTTTTTTGGTAGTTATCCAATAAGGTCTATCTAGTTATAGACTCTGTTTATATGGTTCGCAATATGTAAGAAAGAAGACAGATTTTCAAATGCTAAGACATAGGTGAAAATATAACTATCTGTAAACCTTGTAGCTTAACAAAATTCAAAGCTGTTTCTACTTTTTTGTTTCCTCTCTCAGAACCTCGCTGTCTCACCTTGACAATGAAAAATCTTCACCCCTCCCAAACCTCTGATGACCTCTAGCACCCATCTTTTACAATTCATCCTAAATATAATGACAATATTAATTATCTTCTTAATAATAAAATCCCTCTTCTACTGAAAATCTTTGATGTTTATAAAAGTCATAGTTCTACACATTTACTCTGCTATTACAAGTAAGTCAAACTATATAACTTGCTGTTCCATTTATATATCTTGTTTACACTTTTCTCACAGTATATTTACTTAGATGCTGTGTGGAATTTTCTCATCAATATTCTATTCATCTTTCAAACACAGTTTATATGTCACTTTTTCCATAAAGTTTTTCTAGATTACTTCTAGAAAAGATTTATTTCATTTTTTTCACATGGCCCACGTAGAATTATCTTTGAGAGCTTATTTTATATCTTCTAATTAACTCTCTTACTATTATCCCACAAGGACAGAGACTACATATTTATTTTTATTTCACTCATTTTACTCTTAGAAAGAAAAGGTTTTTAATAAAAACACTCTGTAAGTTATATTAATTACCTGATTTTGCCTCCTAGAAATACACAGCAGATTACATTCAAGTTATAATTTTTATCAGCAAAAGGATTTGTAGAATGAAACTTAAAGCTATAGAATAAAAAATATTAAGTAATGTGTTATGATCAAGTACAAGTGCCTTAAATAAAAGATGGGTTTAGCATAAAAAGAAAAATAAAGGATGAGTTATTCTGCATAGACAACCCCTAATACCTGGGTAGTTTATCATAATAATTAAATATGTGCTCATGTTATTCATTCAATGAAAACTAACAATAAGACTTTTCTCATCATAGTCACTAAGGGATCCAGGCTGACAGAAGAGATGTTTCTATATATATTTACATAGTCACTGTGTCACAAAAAAGGGAATCGGTGACACATACCATGCTAATTCCGAAAATTTCTGCCCAGAAGTAGCACGTCTTTGCTGTTCATACTTTACACACCAATGAATGTCGCATAGCCAACCTAACTTCTAGGGGACAAAAAAGAGAAATTCCACGTGTTCAAACACAGAGACAATTTGAAATGTCTAAAGAATAGCACTAGTAATTATTTTCCACATTCCTCACCCTCCAATAGTAAGGGAAAAAATATATATAAATTTCAAAATCTATATCAAAATAGCAAAATACTCAAACGTAGGAAACGCCCTGAAATCATTTGAACACACCTTTCAATAACAACAAATAGCATTCTTGATCATGAAATTTTAGACACTTTTTTTCTCTAAAGATACATTAAATACAAGGATATTATCATTGGTACTCATCCATAAAGACTCCAAATCATGGCCAATGTAAGAAAGAAAATAAGGTATAAGGTTTGGAAGACAATAGACCAAATTGCCATTTCTATAGGTATGATATGTATTGTTGGCCTACTTTTTGAATTTTTAGAATTTTCTATTATAGTTATTTAAAGTTATGATCAAATTTTCCATAAAAATTACTTTAAAATTTTAAAGTAGAACATTAATAACCTGTAAAATAATAGCAAAAGAATGAAAGCTTCTAATTAGTGTACTAGAAAGAGAGAAAAAGAGAGAGTATGAAGCAGAAAAATTACTTGGCCAAATAATGGTTAAAAAATTTCAAAACTTTATTTAAAAACCCATACATAATTACAGGAATCTAAGCAAATACCAAGCAACAGACATTATATTAAACTACTGAAAATCAGAATTAAATAGGACATTTGAAAAGCAAGAGAAAAAAAGACATATTACATATTAAATGCAGGGGACCAATAGTAAGAAAGAAGGCTGACCTCTCATCAGAAACAATGAAAATCAGAAGACAATGGAACAACATCTTTAAACTAAATGAAAGGCAATTATATAACTTGTCAACCTAGAAAAGTGTCAATTGGCAGATATGTACTACAGGAAATGATACAGGAAGCTCATTTGGCTCAGAGTAAATGGTACCAGATGGAAATTTGGTTATATAAAAAGGAATGAAGCATTAAGTATGTGACCAATTTCATGAAAATAAATTGAACAAATTAGATGAAAAGGACAAACTTTTTTTTGAGAAGCCATAACAAATCAAATTAACAAAAAGAAAAGAAAAAATTAAATAATGTCATTAAGTAAAAAAAATTCATGATTAAGAACCTTCTCTCAAGAAAATGATAGTATACTGGTAAATTTTATTAAGCATTTAAAAAGTTATATTAATTACACCTATTGTTTTCTGATATATATTTTATAGGAATTTGCTTTTAAGGAAATGGTCTACATACACTTGTTAAATGGAGATACATAGATCTCAGGTCTGCCAAAAAAATTGGGTAATAATTTCAACCAGGATATAACATTATTGAGGCCATCCATCTGTTGTTCAGTTAGTACTTGACATTAGCCCTTAACTTCAGCCAGTTTCTCCCCTGGCATAGACTGAGATATAAGAAGAGAAATGAAAAACAGGAAAACGTGGCCCAACTGTTGGACAAACAATCAAAATTACAGCCTTCTTGATGGTGATGTGATTGATGTTAATACTGATTTAAACAAAGTTTGTGTCTGAAAAGAGAAGAAAAGAAGTTCTGGTAAATTTGAGCCCAGATTAAGTGAGTTTGTATTTTATACACAAATACTTCAGGCCAAATATTTGGTGGATTCAAACTACTTACATTTCCTGGCATCCTTTTTATCACAGGGTATTTGTTGGAGATGTAAAAGATATAAGAAACGACAGACTTTTATATGTTTTTCTTTCTAGTTCTAACAATTGGTATTCTGTTTTGTAGCAGAACACTTTCCCATACGCAAGAGAATTGGCCAAAATAGAGAAGAGAATGAATGGTGTATATCTAGAAACAGATATTTGCAAGACAAATTTTCAGTGGAAGAAGGGAATTTCTGATAAACTTCAGCAGCATACTTTCACTAAATCTTTAAGTGTATAGACTGTAGTGTATGTAATCATGTTGCAGGTCAGATTCCTTGGAAAGATGACTTTGAGATTGTGTTTGGTTTATAGAAAATTTGGGGTCAATTGCTGTCGGGATCAACAATTGAGGGATGGGAAGAAAATAGAATTAAACCAAAGAAGAAGTTGGACTGCCACATAGTAACAAGAACTAATTAAGAAAACCTCAAGGAGAGCCCTGAAGTTAGGACAGTCATTTAGATGTGTCTGTGTTGGGGAAAGGGGACCGGACCATCATACCCTACATCAACCAGTCTTCGGGTGCAGCTTGCCTTCTGGAGGAGGAAAGATCTTGGGCAATGTGCCTCTTTTCAGAAGAGGGCAACTTCTAAAAAGGTCTGATGGCTGAGAGCTCAACCAGCAATGTTTCCAGAAGTTGAGTGAATTTGTCCTTCCTTCCTGAAAGGAGAATCTAGCAGTGTAGCAGAGCACTCTGTACTGTCCATTTTTGTACACCTTGAGCCTTCTTTCTTCACCTAAGTTCCAAAAGCTGTATCTTCAGGACTCTGAGGGATTTCTTTCCTGGAGTAAGCTTCCTAGAAGAAAATTAATGGAGAAAACTCTCTCACTGATACAGTTGGGCTTGGGGCTACATCTGTAATAATTGATTGTCCTCTTCTATCCTGGAATCACTTCTCCCACAGCTAGTACCTGTGCTGGTCTTGGTGGCTTATCTGCTTGGATCACCCAAACCCATATCTCTGATTGTCTAAACATCTGGTCATCAAGTCCTTCTTAGATAGTGGCTACTCTATTTGTCAATTTATCATGAAAATTGGACAAATAATTGCCAACAGATAATCAAGTACCAAATAGGTTCCTCTCTGCCCCAGTGTGTCATAACAGCCTTTCTCCTGGTAATCAACTCAATTGCTTCTATCAATATAGTATTCCCTCCTTGCCCACTGGCTCCTTGGCGTATGGAATCTGAAGTGCCCAGGCCAAAATCATAGCTTATGTTTCACTAATAGATATTCCCCATTGTAGGAACCAAGACTGCTAAACTCATGGATTACAGAATTTCAGAAAAAGGAAGCAGAAGCTCACTATGTGTCATTGCCATTTTCTTTTCCTTTCTTTTCTTTTCTTTCTTTCTTTTTTTTTACTTTATTTTAGTTCTGGAATACATTTGAAGAACACACAGGTTTGTTACATAGGTATACATGTGCCATGGTGGTTCGCTGCACCTATCAACCTGTCATCTAGGTTTTAAGCCCCGTACACATTAGGTATTTGTCCTAATACTCTCCCTCCCCTTATGCCCCACTCCCCGACAGGCACCTGTGTGTGAGGTTCCCTTCCCTGTGTTCACGTGTTCTCATGCCCCACTCCCCGACAGGCACCTGTGTGTGAGGTTCCCTTCCCTGTGTTCACGTGTTCTCATGCCCCACTCCCTGACAGGCACCTGTGTGTGAGGTTCCCTTCCCTGTGTTCATGTGTTCTCATTGTTCAACTCCCACTGACAAGTGAGAACATGCAGTGTTTGTTTTTCTGTTCCTGTGTTAGTTTGCTGGGAATTATGGCTTGCAGATTCATTCATGTCCCTGCAAAGGACATGAACTCATTCTTTTTTATGGCTTTACAGTATTCCATGGGGTATATATGCCACATTTTCTTTATGCAGTCTATCATTGATGGGCATTTGGGTTGGTTCCAAGTTTTTGCTATTGTAAACAGTGCTTCAGTAAATATATGTGTGCATGTGTCTTTATGGTAGAATGATTTATAATCACTTTGGTATATATGCAGTAATGGGATTGCTGGGTCAAATGGTATTTTAAATCCTTGAAGAATCGCCACACTGTCCTCCACAATTGTTGAACTAAATTACATGCTCACCAACAGTGTAAAAGTGTTCCTATTTCTCCACAGCCTCGCCAGCATCTGTTATTTCCTGACTTTTAATAATCACCATTCTAACTGTGTGAGATGGTATCTCATCGTGGTTTTGCCCTAAAACTCCTTAAGCTGATAAGCAACTTTGGAAAAGTCTCAGGATACAAAATCAAGTGCAAAAATCACAAGCATTCCTATACACCAACAATAGACAAGCAGAGAGCCAAATCATGAGTGAATTCTCCTTCACAATTGCTACAAAAAAAATAAAATCCCTAAGAATACAACTTACAATAGATGTGAAAGTCCTCTTCAAGGAGAACTACAAACCATTGCTCAAGAAAATAAGAGAGGACACAAACAAATGGGAAAAAATTCCATGTGCATAGATAGGAAGAATCAATATCGTGAAAATTGCCATATTTCTATTTTCAACTCTTCATTCCCGCCACCATGTATAACCAACAGGGCACCACGTATCTAAACAATGGAACACAGCACCATACAGTGGTGATGAGACTTGAGTATAGAGTGTATCTTGGAAGATGATTTCCTATCCTTATATGGTATCATTTTCAAGCCTGTGCCTCACCTGTGCCTTCTATGAACTATTTTATTGCTTTCCAATGGCAGCATCTTTTGGATGGTGTAGTTTCGAATAGGAACAGTTGATCTTAAGATCATGCAGCTACTGTTGCACCTCTTTTGCTTTAAAGTGAGTCTCTTATACAACAAAGGAAACAATCAACAGAATGAAGAGACAGCCTATGGAATAGGAGTATATATTTGTGAACTACATATCTGATAAGGAGTTAATATCAAAAACATAAAAGGAACGCAACTCAACAGCAAGAAAAAAATCTGATTAAGAAATGGGCAAAGAACCTTGGTAGACATTCCTCAAAAAGAGAGATACAAATGGTTGACAAGTACGTGAAAAAATACTCAACATCACTAATTATCAGGGAAATGCAAATTAAAATCACAACGACTGATCAGCTTACACCTTTTAGGATGGGTAGCAAAAAAACAAGAGACAAGTATTGGTGAGGATGTGAAGAAAAAAGGATACTTTTACACTGTTTTTAGGAATGTACATCAATACAGCCATAATGGAAAACAGAATAGAGGTTGCTCTTAGTTCAGAATTTCTCAACAGTGGCATATTGACATTTTGGGGCAGATTATTTATTAAGGGAGGCTGTCCTGTCCATTATAGGATGTTTAGCAGCAACTCTCTAGCCACTAGATGTCAGTAACATCCTCCCTTTTCTGACAATCACAAATGTCTCCAGACTTTGCCAAATGTCTTGGGGGTGGGATGTGGGAGATATGGGATTGCCCATGGTTAAGAACTACTGTGTTAGTCTGATGCAATGCTGTATGAGATCGCCTGTTGATGGACTAAGCTCTCTGAAATCCCATGGCTAATGGTGCTGTTTGAGGTTCTTTGACAGGAAACGCAGAACCATACTTGGAATATGTATAAATTCAAAAAGCATTAATTCATTTTGAATTAATGCTTCCATCCTTCCAGGATGGCAGAAGTCCAATGTATTTAACTTGCCACCAGGTGGCTGGTTGAACCCCTGAAGCGATAGTGCTGTATTGGGGGCTTAGCGTTGTTCTCTGTCGCTACTTCTGAGACATTTGGCAGTGACAGAAGTTATAACAGCTTCAGTAAATAGGAACTTGTATGGTTGGGCCCATGCAAAACCTGCATCCCTTACACCATGGTTACTCTGTTCATGTGCCCATTGTCCAAACACCAGAGTCTCTGATGACACGGAATGGCTGTTATTGACTGGCTGATACTTTGTCTACTCCAATCACCCGGTTGTTTAATGTCGCTTCTAGGGTACGTATTTTCCCTTAGACATTAGCACGCACTACAAAGATCTTCACACTTTGTGCACACTCTCACTAGTTCATTCATATACCATGATCCCATACGTTCTTGGCACTGATCTTCCCATCTTTCAAGACTGAATGAAAAAAATATAATGTAAAACATCCCATCAATATTTTCTTTTTTTAAAATATATATATTTTATCGTACTTTAGGTTTTGGGGTACATGTGAAGAACATGCAGGACTGTTGCATAAGTACACACATGGCAATGTGGTTTGCTGACTCCATCCCCATCACCTGTATCTGGCATTTCTCCCCTTTTATCCCTCCCAACTCCCTACCACCTGCTGTCCCTCCCCAGTCCCCACCAACAGACCCCAGTGTGGGATGCTTCCCTCCCTGTGTCCATGTATTCTCATTGTTCAACACCCACCTATGAGTGAGAACATGCAGTGATTGATTTTCTGTTCTTGTGTCAGTTTGCTGAGAATGATGGTTTCCAGATTCATCCATGTCTCTACAAAGGAAACGAACTCATCGTTTTTTTATGCCTGCATAGTATTCCATGGTGTATATGTGCCACATTTTTCCCTGTCCAGTCTATAATCGATGGGCATTTGGGTTGGTTTCAGGTCTTTGCTATTGTAAACAGTGCCACAGTGAACATACGTGTGCATGTGTCTTTATAACAGAATGATTTATAATTCTTCGGACATATACCCAGTAATGGGATTGCTGAGGCAAATGGAATTTCTATTTCTAGGTCCTTGAGCAATTGCCACACTGCCTTCCACAATGGTTGAACTAATTTATACTCCCACCAATAGTGTAAAAGTGTTTCTATTTCTCCACATGCTCTCCAACATCTGTTGTCTCCAGATTTTTTAATGATTGCCATTCTAACTGGCATGAGATGGTATCTCAATGTGGTTTTGATTTGCGTTCCTCTAATGAGCAGTGATGGTGAGCATTTTTTCATGTTTGTTGGCCTCATAGGTGTCTTCTTTTGAAAAGTGGCTGTTCATATCCTCACCCACTTTTGAATGGGCTTGTTTGTTTTTTTCTTGTAAATCTGTTTTAGTTCTTTGTAGATTCTGGATATTAGCCTTTTGTCAGATGGGTAAACTGCATAATTTTTTCCCATTCTGTTGGTTGCTGGTTCACTTTAATGATTGTTTCTTCTGCTGTGCAGAAGCTCTGGAGTTTAATAGATCCTGTTTGTCTATTTTGGCTTTTGTTGCCAATGCTTTTGGTGTTTTAGTCATGAAGCCCTTGCCTATGCCTATGTCCTGAATGGTTTTGCCTAGATTTTCTTCTAGGGTTTTTATGGTGTTACATCTTATGTTTAAGTCTTTAATCCATCTGGAGTTGATTTAAGTGTGAGGTGTCAGGAAGGGGTCCAGTTTCTGCTTTCTGCACATGGCTGGCCAGTTTTCCCAACACTATTTATTAAACAGGGAATCCTTTCCCTATTGCTTGTTTTTGTGAGGTTTGTCAAAGATCAGATGGTAGTAGATGTGTGGCGTTGCCTCCAAGGCTTCTGTTTTGTTCCGTTGGTCTAAATCTCTGTTTTGGTACCAGTACCATGCTGTTTTGATTACTGCAGCTTTGTAGTAGAGTTTGAAGTCAGGTAGCATGATGCCTCCAGCTTTGTTCTTTTTGCTTAGAATTTACTTGGCTATGCGGGCTCTCCTTTGGTTCCATATGAAGTTTAAGGTGGCTTTTTCCAGTTCTATGAAGAGGTTCATAGGTAGGTTGATGGGGATAGCATTGAATCTATAAACTACTTTGGACAGTATGCCCATTTTCTCAATATTTATTCTTCCTAACCATGAGAGTGGAACATTTCTCCATATGTTTCTGTCCTCTCTTCTTTCCTTGAGCAGTGGTTTATAGTTCTCCTTGAAGAGGTCCTTTACATCCTTTGTTGTATTCCTAAGTATTTTATTCTCTTTGTAGCAATTGTGAATGGCAGTTCCTTCTGATT